TTACGAAAAGTCTCCCAAAATTTCCGTTTCTTCTCGCTTCGTCGGTTACATAATCCTACTGTTTCGTTCCTTCAAAGCTGCCGTTGACGGTCTAAATCCGGCGCTGGGAGGTGTTTACCTCTCCACCTCGGTACGTGGTTTCGCTCTGATTTGACGGCCTCCGGTAAGGCTAGCTGATTCGAATTCCTCTTAATCGCCCGGATCTGAAAACTTCTTCTTTTACCGAAGGATTCTGTGTAGAAAGTAGGCAGATACTGCTGCCTCCTGTTTTCTTGGCCAAATTTCCTCTCTACCCCATCGGAGTCTACGAAGAATGGGGGAAAACCCCGCAGTTTCGCGCTATGTGAAGCTAACGAAGGAGCACGATACGCCGATCGAGGAGATCCGTCCGGGAGAACTTAATCAGCCTGTTAGGGTTCCTCAGGTCGGTATTTTTTTATTTTTTTATTTTTTTATTTTTTTCCGTGTCATCTGAGCTTTTTGTGCCAATGTTTTACTCTCTTTACCGGAGATTTGTTCAACTTCTTGAAATGGGAACACTCTCTTTGCTCTAAGTTGATGCTCGCCGCTTCGAATTAGAAATGTAGTTTTTGTGCTTTTATTTGATCGGAACCTTTTAGTTTAAATTTTACTTTAGACTTAATTTCTTTTTTTTGGAGCAGTTGGAAGTTCGTAAGTGTAATGAGTGCGGGCAGCCGCTGCCAGAAAGCTATGAACCTCCTGCTGATGAACCCTGGACAACTGGAATCTTTGGCTGTGCTGAGGACACTGATAGCTGTAAGAAGTTTCCCCACGTTGTTTTTTTTTTGTTAGTAATTGATGCTCTGAGTTTTTTTTTTTTTTTAAATCTTCTGACGTAATGCTTGGTTAAGTGATATTAGATATAATATTGCTATCTTGTTCTTGGCAACGGATTTAAAATGATCTTGGATCCCAAATTGTTCAGTGGATCATGCCTAAGGTTTAGAGCATTAATCAAATGAAAACAAAGAAGCAGAAAGATTTGAATACTTGTTATTTGTTTCTTTTAAGTGGAATTCCCTGTTCTCCTTTTGATGATTATGCCCTATTTATAATTCATAGTTGGGATTTGTAAGTTACATGTTAATTCCTCAAATGAGAGGAAGATTACTATATTTAAATACTATTACACTTACACATTTGTAATTGAGCATTATTCATTACATCTTTGTAACTGATTCTTGCACCAGTAGATTCTGGTAACTCCCTTGCATTGAGCTTTGTATTTGCAACTCTTTGACCCAAATGTTTGAATTGCACGCGATTGTCCGTCATTCGGTCGTCCAACCCGAACCATTTGGTGGTCATTAATGTTCTTCGGTCGCCCAATTCTATGGATTCTGAATGTGAAGATACATCATCTTGGGATATGATTATTTCATCGGGCAGAGGGTAAATCACCGTAATCCGACGAACAACCTACTCTTGGATTATGCATCTTTGATAACTCCATTTTAGGCGACCGCTATTTTCTAAGGTCGTAGTTACATGATAATTGACGCTGGTGTTATCTGTGTGATGCTCATTGGATCATTCGTTCCCTTTCGTTTGACCATCCCGCAAGAACGATCATTCGTTCGAACAAATTATCCATATTTTTATATCTCTACTATTTCTCCTCATGATTCTTGCAAGCATATATCTGATGTACATAATTAGTTTCTTGATTCTATAATTTTTTTTGAGAGTATTAGCTACCAAAAAGAATAAGAGAATTAAATATCTCGATTGTTCATATAATGAATAATAAATATCATTATATTTTGTGCTCCCTTGTTTTCCATGTTTCCCTTTCCTTTTTCCCTATAAATATGGTTCTAAGAGTGTTTTGTCACTTTTCCATCTTCTTTCTCTTCTTTGTGTGAGTCGATTATCGAGTCGGACGAACATGTCAGGTGTCAAAAGACCGATAAATGAGGAGGCCTTGAAGCAGGCTTTTGGATACCCCATTTCTAGGACCCGGCCTGCAAGTAATGATAGAAAGAGAATATTAGACAGTTCTCGTCCACCCTTAAGAAAAAGGCGGGCGAAGAATCACGACTGTCGGAAAAGTGGAAAGTAGATGAAAGGAGATCAGTTGGTGAAAAGAGGCCGGTCAAATCGATTCAGGTTAGGAGGAAGTTGGTAATTCATTGGACTTGGCGCAACTCCAGGTTAGGAGGTGGAAGATGGGAAAGTATTGGACCCTTCACCGCTCCGTCAGTGTTGGGTTCTTCTGCTATCTCGAGTTGGAGAACCTTCGGTGGTGGTTATGCAAGCGCAATCACCCGATCTCTCATTGCCCCATCTTTCAACTCCAGAGTGTACTCTGGGTGATGCTCCGCTGAGGGAAGGTGACACGCTCCATAGTTTGGCTGGTAGTGCTTCGAGGGCTGAGACCCCATAAGTGGAGAATGCTCCTCTGCTTACGACCGAGAACACTCCTCATGGTGGTACGACTTTGTTGCAGAGAGCTTCTGTTTATCGAATATAGATCGAATGATCGGTAACCTTGTAGTTCCCTTTGATTGGCTTCACCATTTATTTTTATAATATCAGGTTAATTATTGCAGAAGAAACCATGGATATTACTGGTTCTCAAACTGTGGAGGTGGCTTTTTGAATTGAGTTCGTATAACGGACTGGTCCTTCTGCTCAAGTTGCGGTAGAAAAAATTACAATCACCCCCCACCCCTTACCCCATTTGAACTTAACATCCCTTCCAGTTGGTCCAAAAGTGGAAACTCATGGCCAGGAGGATTCTCGTGGATCGTTGGTTTGGTGCCTAGATGAGACTGCGGACTCTTTTGCTTGGGCTGCTGAACTCCAATGAGAGACCACTGCTACTGATCTTCGAGAGGAGATGGCAATCGTTTAGGCGGATATGGAGATTCTCCATGCCCAAGTTACAGAAGTAGAAATTCTCTGAGCCAAGGTAGCGGGACTGGAAGCTCTCTCGACCCAGGTGGTAGGTCTGGAAACTCTCTGTGATGATTGGGAGACTTTGAGGGATGAGTTGGCTGAATTTCGAGCGGCTAGTTCCAGTTCAATTTCAAACCTACGCGCCTAGGAGGAAAAACTGAAAAATATAAATTTTGCGGGCATTCGTTGTATTAAAGTTTAATGAACCATGGTTTGGTCTTGTCCGAGATTGCGGATGGCCGGGCTGTAAAATATTACTTTTTATGAATGAAAATTATCCAAAATTTGGGCAATTATAATTTTTTTTTTAAAAAATTATGTCTCCACATGACACTTATAACATAAATCAAAGTGGTGCTTCAACTTCCTAAAAAGTGTATATAAATAGACTTCAATAGATGTTAGGAGAAAGTTGTTACATTCTTTTCACTACATCTATTTTTCGGTCGTTTTGTTTTTGAAGCTCGATGATTCCCACCCCCAAATATTCTCCTTGGATTTTTGGTTTGGTTAGGTCTTCTAAAAGATCGATCCTTATTGACTTTGAGGTTAATTTATTAGATGAGACTTGTGTTTATGACACAAGTGTCGTTTTAGATCAAATGGAAGCTAAAGTTCGCGCCACCAACTATTTAGGTGATGATTTGATTTTCTATCGAGATCAGTTTTGTTTCTGTCTTTGACTACCACTTTGTATGGAGCTTCGCTCGATTTTCAGTTTTATGGCATCTTCCCTGCTCAAGTGAAGCCAAACTCTATTATTTTCACACATGTTTTACTTTTGGGCTGAACGGAACGGGTATGTTGTTTTTGGCTTACCCGAAAGTTTCATTTGATATATCTGGAAAACAAGATTAAAGATTGGAAGCTTTGTTTTTTGAGAGGTGCCTTTGATAACTGGGGCATTCCAACTAAGGCAAGGGTATCTCCTTTGATACCCATTTCCCCTGTCCTTCCAGAAGTAGGAAAAAGGGGAAGGATTGTTGAATCCCTCTTCAAAAAGATTGGCTAAAAGTTTACATAAATTCTGATTTGGTTGATATTAATAGGGATTGGTTTCCCAAAAATGTAGCATATGCAGTTTACACTTTGACAACTGTAGACATACTTTGGTTGGCTGGCTAGATAAGTAGCTCGATGAACTCCATTCGGTCGAGTTTATCGTTACTAGCTCTTGGGCTATGTTTCCACTCATCATCTCACTTTGATTTATTTGTCCATGAGGGAAGGGTTTGCTAAATCTGAAGAGAAAGTCTTAAAATATCGGGAGCGAGCAGAGTTGGTGACAATAAGGGGTGCTGAGGCAGATTCCAAGCAGATGAAGGCAAAGGCAAAGCTGGAAATTACTTTTGAATGGATCTCGGTGGTTCAAGAGGAGAACACTCTTCTGATGGAACAAATGTCTAGCATGACAATTGTCGAAGAGTTATTAGCTACTCAAGTGGAGTACTTGGAGACGGGTTGTAAATTTGTAACTAATGAATTCGCCTTAGTGGAAATGGTCGACCGAAGGTATTCTGACCTTGAGGAGTTCAAGAAGCTTTATGACATTCCTTCGACTTCGGATCGACATGGAGAATCTGTAGGTGATAATTTAGCAGACGATGTATCGTCCAACACTCTTCCGGAAGATCCATAGAGACACTTTTCAGTGTTCCTTCAGCCCCTTTTCATTTTTTTAATTGTTTAGACATGAATTCACATAAATGAAATATGATTTTTGTTCGACTATTTTTCTTTGAAATTTTAAATGTTGTTTGAATTGTCTTTTTCGATCGCCTATCTGTGACCAAGCGTAATAACATATTTTGGTGGTCTCTGGTGAGACCAACCGTCATGATGCTTTTTGGTTGTTTTTTGTGTGACCAAGTATTGTGATGTTTTTTGGTTTTCTTTTGTACGACCAAGCGTCATGATGCTTTTTGGTCGTCTTCTGTGTGACCAAGCATTGCAACGCTTTTTGGTCGTCTTTTTATAACATATTTGAGTTCCTCGAGTATTTCTTTGTCGTCATTCCATTAGGTCAAGAATTCCGAGTGTCGAGGGGAACTTTAATAATTGTCACGTTTGGCCAACTTTCTTGTTTGCATCTCGTGACTTCTTGTGGGTCAGCTTCTAAAGGTTTGCATTGATTGTGTTTTGATTCTCTTTTTCCTTTTTTTTGGGAAGCTGTCCTTTGAGCTTGCACTTTAGCCTCAAGCTATCTTGTCATGATGGGCCCTTAGCAGCTTTTGTCGGGCTTATCCTGTTGGAATTGTTGACCCACTCATCTATAAAAAGGGTGGAATTGGCTTTTACGTATTGTGCTTATGTTCAAAAGAATTTGTTAGTGGGTTGATAAAGGATGTGTGAGAGTTCAATTGGCTCTTCGTAAAGTTGAAAGTAAAGACAACCTTTCGTCGAGCAAATTAATGGGGTTGACATAACTCATACTTTAATTATTTTTTTCATCGGGTCCAATGTCAAAGTGTGGAATATCCTCCAAGTAGGGTGTTGAAGGTGACTCCAGAGGAGATGACCCATCACAGTCATCACTCCCCATGAACGGGCGTTGTATCTCATGGGGATTGAAGAGCTAGCGGTACGTTCCCAGGGAATGCAATATGTTCCTTTGACAGTTTGTTGCGAGAAAGGTTTCAACTCCTTCCCATTATAGATGAAAGGGGATGACTTATAAGCCTTCTGGCAGCAAGTATTCATAGCAGCAAGTATTCATTTCCGCGCTCTCTCTTGTTTCTCAAGGTGGGAGAATATAAACACAGGGAGAGTGAGGAAGAGGAATCTGGGGTTCTTGGCGAGGCCTCTTCGATCGAGTTTCAACACAGAGACTTTGCTTCCTTCGTCAGTTTTTCTTGTTTTAAAAGTTTTGTGAATGGTGTATTTTTAGCACTTATTATCCTTTGGATGTTATATACCTTTAACTGAGATAAATAAAATATTTTATTTAACAACAATAATGTCTCTCAGATATAATTACAGATATAAAGAAAAACTTTTTGTTTACGGAAATTTTTTTGTTAGGTTGTCTCCACTCCACATCCGTGGGATGATTTTTCCTGTTTATTTTTTTAATTTATATGCATCAGGGGCAACCTGTTGATTGATGATGAATGGATCGGTCCATGTTTGATCTAGCTTGCCGACCGACTGACTTCTAACAGACGGATGTCTTCTTTAAAACTAAATCACCCACAGAGAATGTCTTTTCCCATACATTTTTGTTATATTATCGGGTTGTTCTTTTCATCTCCTCCAGTCGTAGAGCAACATTTGTTCGAATTTTCTCAAGCATATCTAGAGCGAGTGAGTCTCTTTTTCCATTCTTACTTTGCCAATTGTTAAGCTCCCTTCGCCGAAAGACTTTGCGATGATAACTCTTTGACTGTGATGATTATATTCAGTCTGTACCATAACTTCCATTCCGTGAGAAAGTATATATGGCGTTTGATTGGTTGATTTCGTTGGTGTGGTTCAGATTACCTAAAGGACTGAGGAAAGCTTATCTGCCCACTTACCTTTTGCACATTCGACCTTCTTTCTTAATAAGTTTAGTATGATCTTGTTCGCGACTTCAGCTTGACCATTAGTTCGTGGGTGGTGTACGGATGAGAATTTTAAATTAATTCCTTGGTTTTGGCAGAAGTTTTTGACTCTCTGATAAGCAAATTGAGTTTTATTATCTGTAATAAGCATTAGAGGTAATCCATAACGACAGATTATATCCATCCTGATAAAATTCCAGACTACACATGCTGTGATCCGAGCGAGTGCTTTAGCTTCTATCCACTTAGAAAAATAATCCACAGCTACTAAAAGGAACTTTCTTTGTCCTGTGCAAGGTAGGAACGGGCCAAGGATGTCTAACCTTCATACGGCAAAGAGCCAGGGGCGGACAATGGCTTGTAACTTTTGAGTTGGTGTTGTAGTGGAACATATTTTTGACATTGTTCACACCTTCGGGAAAACTACTTTGCATCTTTTAAGAGAGCCGACCAAAAATAAACTTGTCTTTGCACCTGATGAGACAATGCCTTATCTCCTGAATGGCTTCCGCATTCACCCGAATGTATTTCTCGGAGGTTGTCTTCCGCTTCTTTTTCTTTGACGCATCTTAAGAGCAAGAAAGTAGTTGACCTTCGGAATAATGTGTTTGCATTGACAAGATATTGAGCGGATTTGAACTTGAATCTTCGTGGTTCTGTTACTGTTTCATGAATTTTTCCCATTTTAAAGTAATGAATGTAAGGGCCTACCTAACTCTTTTCATCATTTGCTTTCATTTTCAGACTTAGAGTTCTTTGATGGATGGCCGAACTAACTTTTGGGGCGCTCTATTCCCTATACTCGTTTCTTTTGACAGAAGGTCTACCACTTGATTTTCCTCTCGTCCTATGCATTCGATGCGGCAACTTACAAACTTTTTTATTTCTACCTAGACTTTATTCAAGTATCGGACCATCATTTCATCTCTGATTTCGAATTCCCCATTAACCTGGTTGACAACCAATTGAGAGTCGGACCTCACAATTAAATGTTGTGCACCCACTTCTTGAGCTGACTAAAGCCCAACTATTAAAGCCTCGTACGCTGCTTTTTAATTTGTTACTGAAAATTCAAGGATAACTGAATGATAAATATGAGCTCTGGTCAGACTACTTAAAGCCAGTCCAATTCCTGCTTGCGGGTTCAGGTCTATATTCC